ACAGCCAGCTCCATCCCTTCCATCCCACAGCCAGCTCCATCCCCTCCATCCCACAGCCTTCCTTGGCATTGCCAAGGAGAGTTGGCACAACTGATGTCAATTCTCTGAGTCAATGCATCTCCCCTGACTGGTGACTCAGGAATTGTGGTTTTAAGGCTGTTCACAGGGCAGGGAAGGACAGACTGACTTACATGATGAAGGCTGTGATTCCGATGGACCAAATATCAGTCTGTGGGAGGGCTCCTTGCTCTGTCAGCAGTTCTGGAGCTGGAAAAGCAAACTGGTGTGAGCCCAGCTCTGCTCCAACACACTGAGAGCAGCACAAAGGCAGTGGGTATTTTTGCTGCCTTCCCAGGAGTGAAGAAGAAGCAGCTCCCGGGACAGGGAGCTGGTTGAGGTAAGACACCTTTGTAGGTGCTGTTTGCAGTGAAACCTTGAGGACCTCAGGCCGGGTGGCAGCAGTGCTTGATCTCTGAGCCCTGGACCCCTGGATGCCCACTGGAGCAGTGTGACTGAACTCTGTACTCACCCATGGTTTCGACATAGTCCATGCACTTGTCCATGGTAATGACTTTGTCTTGTGTGTAGAACTGTGCGTTCCCAAAATCCAGGAGTTTCAGCAGGTTGGGCTCGGTGATGATCATGTTCTCAGACCTGAGATCCAGGTGCAGGATGTCGTGGGCATGGAGGTACTCGGTGGCACTGAGGATCTGCCACAGGTAGTCCCGGACCTCCACCTCGGAGTACGATGTCCTGGTGGGAGAAAGGACAGCTCTGTTTTCTATTCCTTATCTCCATTCCCAAGAATGCTTTTCTACACCCCTGGATGTTTAATCCCATCAGGCCCTTGAGAGTCAAGAGGAAACAACTCTTCATTTAGCAAATCTGTTGTGTATGGGGAGGCCAACCCATCCTGTGAGTCAAATTTACAGATGCAAAAAGTGTAGGAGGTTGTAGAGCTGCGTGTCAGAGAAAGCAGTGGGTTGGGCAGAAATCAAAATGCAGATCTGATGCCCACCATTGCCTCTCTTTTAACCACAGGCTTTCATCAGATCCATTTTATGACATTCTAAGAAACAATGTGGAGGAGAAACGAGATTTTCTGAGTAACCTCATGTTGTGGGAGATGGGATTTCATATCAACTACTGTAAACTGCTTTCAGTGTCTCAACTGGCGGCCCTGATTTAGTTCCCTTATAGGGAACTAAAGTAATTTTTGAATCTCTCAGGATGCTGCAGAACAAATCCCATGTGCAATGACAGCACACTGGAATTGATGGAGAGGGATGATCCATTTTGTCAGGAGAAAGCAATAGGTGTTTTCCAGCCCTGAGTGGAAAACCCTTCCATGTTCTTACCGTAGTGCCAAGGAGTGGAGCAGCTCTGGTCCCACACACATCTCCTGGATCAACACCAAGTGCCGTGGGCTGACATAGGCTCCCTTCAGCTGGGCTATGTTTGTGTGGTGGAGCTTCCTCAGGACCTGGTACTCCAGGAGCACAGTCTGCTTGTCCTCTTGCCAGTAAGGGATGATTTTTGCAGCCAAAGCCTTGCCACTCACTTTCTCCCTGCACTGCCGGACGATGCTGAATCGCCCCCTGGTACAAAGGAACACAAAGGGACATTAAACTTCTCTGCTGCTCCTGGAGGAGCCAGGAACTTCTGTTCTTTAAAAGCACCAGGATCCCATGCTGTGTTTTTCATCCACAACCAATGGGGAGTTATTGCATCCATTGTCACAGTTTGCACATCCTCCTGTGTCTCTAAATGGTACAGTCACTTTAAATTCCAGGAGTGAGAGCTTAACTCCTTTGGAGAGAGAGAAGGAGAGAGCAAGAGAATTACTCCTTGTTGGCAACAGAAGTTAGTGCCTCTCTTCTAGGCAGAGAAAGTTGCATCCCAACCCCCTGACTGAAACTGGTACCTGCAAAGGCTGATGCAGCAAGGACAGGAAACTCTGTTAGCCCTGGGCTCACTTCACGAGATATCAAGTGACTGCCCTGCTGCCCAGTTGTGATAGGACAAGGGGTGATGGTTTTAAACTAAGAGAGCTGATTTAGACAGGATATAAGGATGAATTTTTATACAATGAGGGTATAAAACATTGGCACTGGTTGCCCAGAGAGGTATGAGATGCCTCATCCCTGGAAATGTTCAAGGTCACATTGGATGGGGCTCTGAGCAAGTTGACCTGGTTGAAAATGTCCCTGCTTGTTGCAAGGGGGTTGGACTAGATGACCTTCAAAGGTCCCTTCCAACCCAGACTATTCTATGATTCTACGACCCTTTTGCTCTCCACAAAAGGGAGAGCTGAGACAGTGACACTTGCTGAGCAGCACATTTATAAATGTGACTTTTCTAAACTCCAGCCACATAGAATCATAAAATCATAGAAACACAGAATCCTAGCATGGTTTGGGTTAGAAGGGACCTTAGAAACCATCTAGTTCCACCCCCTGCCATGGGCAGGGACACCTCCCATCCTCCCAGGTTGCTCCAAGCCCCATCCAACCTGGCCTTGGACACTTCCAGGGATGGGGCAGCCACAGCTTTTCTGGGCAACCTGTGCCAGGGCCTCATTATCCTCACAATAAAGAATTTATTCCTAATATCTGATCTAACCCTGCTCTCTCTCACTCTGAAGCCATTCCCTGTTGTCCTATCACTCCATGCTCTTGTAAATAGTCCCTCTCCACCTTCCTTGTAAATCCCTTCAGGTCCTGGAAAGCCACAAATAGCCTCCTCTTTTCCAGGCTGAACAATCCCAATTGTCTCAGCCTTTCCTCATAGGAGAGGTGCTCCATCACACGTGGGATCTCCCTCTGGATCACAGAAAACTCATTTGGATTCTCTACCTTTTGATCTCTGTTTGGAAGGCGTAGGTCTGGTAGGTTGGGAAGGGCTCGGATGGTGTGATTATTTCACTCTCTTCCTCAGTAGCAGGTGCTGGGATGTCCTGCGTTGCAGCACGAAGCTCTGCAGAGAAAAAGGGACAGGAATTACGTGGGAAAACAGCTCTGTGTGGAAAAAAGCTTCACTATCTATGAACAACAGCAAAGGCAACAGCAGAGCTTTCTCCTGGTGACTCTGCAGCCTGAATCCCAGCTGTGGCACCCAGTGCTGCTGGAATGCAACAGATCCTGCTCTTTCCACCCAGAAATTCCCTGATGTGGCCACTCCAGGCAGTATGAGATGCACTATATATTATGTGCTGTGATATATCAAACATCTGAGCCACTGGTTCACATCTCCTCACATAACGAGTCACCAGGTCTCAGCAAGACACTGACAGAGAACTAGAAACTTCTTTTGGGTGGATATTTCAGGGCAGCAGCTGAAACTTTTTGCTCTGGTTCTGGTGTGTGGTTGTGTCCAAGCGCTCCCTGAAACACTAAATCATCTCTTTAAAGCATCTGCTTGGAAATGCTGGACACATTGAGATACCCTGATGAATCCTGGACCAAGGGAAAGCAGAGGATTTAAGGTGAGTTAAAAATATCTCTGTGAACTGATTTTTACAGAGCAATCCTCTCCACTGGGAGGAAATTGTAGTTAGACCATCCTTCTATTTCTTGGCAGAAAGGATGCTTTGTTACAAGGATATGTTTGCTGTGGGATTAAGGATTTCTTAATTTTAAAAACATATGAGTTGTACAATGCAGTCAAACAAGTGAAAAAAAATAGTAAATTGGGCTTTGTTTACTTCAGAGACAAAACACAGCTGGAAAATTCATCACAGAAGGACAATAATTCCCAAAGGAAAACACCAGAATAGAGACCTTAATTACTGAATTTAGGATTTAGTCCATAATATAGAGCAGGTCCAGGGCTTTCACCAGTGGCAGATTTATATCAAGAGATAAATGCCTCCAGCCACACATTTATGGTCCAAGACCCATTTCTTCATCATCTTTAATCAAACCTGAGTGTGTCTTCAACAGGTAATCTTCAGTTCCCAGGTTTTAATTTTATTTTTAAATTTTATATATATTTACATATAGTTTCTATTTACATAATGTTATTTTCTTATTGGGTTTTCTGATATATTTATACATATTCCCCTGTGTCCAGAATTAGAAAATAATGCAATTTTAGATAGAAAAACCCTAAACCACCCTGAGCCAAGTGGAACTGGCCTTGGTTCACTTGCTCTTGACTTCTGGGCCCATGTCTAAAAGGGTGCAGTGGTTTTGATGCAGGAAGATCCTGATGGTTTCTCGGGGTTTGATCTTACCCATTGGATCCTTCCCAGTGATTTTCACGCTGGCAGAGGGGTCGCTGTAGGGGCCCATTCCTGCTTTGCTGGTGCAGGCAATCCTGAAGTGGTAGATAAACCCCTTGGGCAGATTTTTGGCATAGTAGCAGCAGTCAGCGAGGTCAGAAGCCAGAGTTGTCCACTCCCCATCTTAACCAAGGAAAGAGAGAAAAGACATCGGGACTCAATTATGATGATCTCACTGGGTTGTGGCTTTTTTGAGGTTTTGGGTTTTATTGTTGGTTTTTTTTTTCACCAGCTTTACTTATGTGCTGGCAATATGAAGAAAAAAGGCTCATTCCAATCCCCTAACTTTCTGTGATTCTCTGAATCTTGTAGAGTGAAAGAAAAACCAACTTGCTATGGCCAACTTTTGTGCGTGGTGACACTCACTGTCCCTGTGTTACTCTGCTCTGAAATCAGCTGCTTTACATCTGACAAGTCCAAGTTGTGCCAGTATTCTGACACAGGAATGGGGAACCTTTCCTGTGTGCTTTCTGTTTATCTAATTCCTGCACCAATCTCTAATGCAAATATCCACCAAGAACTCCAAACAGAACCCCCAGCTAAATCACTGATTTGTTTTTCCTTTTGGCCCTGTCCTGAATCCAGCTGAGACCATGAGGATTCCTGGACAGAACTATCCACTAACACTCTCCATGCAAAACCAGTGTTTGAAATGTAGGCAGTTTTACTCAGCTTTTATGAAATTCAGATGATTTCTCAGGGTACTGAAATTGCAGATACATTCTGGACTCATAATTTATGGGACTAAGGTGGGAAGGAGAAAATCACCAGCAAACATTTAACGACCTTTCATTTCAGATATTGCTGTGTCTCATGTTTTGCTGCTGTGCTCAAGGCTGAACTCAACTCCTTTCTACTGCCTGAGATTAAACCTGTCCTTTCACTCAAATAAACACTTCTGGAGGCCTCAAACCTTTAAATAAGCAGTAATTCACCGCCCAAACCCAAAGTATTGATGACTTTCCAGGGTACTGGCTGAATTTAGGGATGTGTTTGTATAAGAAGGAGCAGATACAGCTTGGAAATAGAGAAAAGTGTCTGCAGAAGCAGCTGGCAAAAGCCTGTTGTGAAGTCATGGATAAAACAAGGAATTTTTTCCTGTTTACCTTAATCCTCCTGTGTTCAGGAACTTTGCATGTTCCTGCTAAATACACAGAATGCAATGGAAGATTAGAGATGCCACTTCCTGGTTTTCTTCCTAATTGGAACAACTTGTGTTTCTATCCTCCACAAAGTGTGTCCTATTGTTGTGTCAGAAAGGAATAACAAAAAGAAAGTGGCGTCCTCGGAGAAAAAGTGACTCACAGCAGCTCCAGAGGGAAAAGGCTGAAAACTGCCTATGCCCATGCTAATCCAGAAGGGAGTGTTTGTATATCTGGGGAATTAGATGAGGGAACATGGAGCAGCTGAATCCAAAGGGCTGTGTTTGTGTGACTGCAGAAGGCATTGCTGTCAGACATCACATTCGTAGTAACGACAGCAAAGCAGTCCCAGGAGAGATGGAACAGGCTTGGGGATTTGGTTCAAAGCTTTTGTAACTAAACAGGAAAACATCCACTTTTGACAAGGGCACATAGTGACAGGACGAGGGGGAATGGCTTTAAACTGTAAGAGGGGAGATTTAGATCAGATGTCAGGAAGAAATTCTTCCCTGTGAGGGTGGGGAGGCCCTGGCACAGGTTGCCCAGAGAAGCTGTGGCTGCCCCATCCCTGGAAGTGTCCAAGGCCAGGTTGGACAGGGCTTGGAGCAACCTGGGCTAGTGGGAGGTGTCCCTGCCCATGGCAGGGGGTGGGACTGGATGGTCTTTAGGTCCCTTTCCAACCCAAACTTTTTTATAATTCCATGATTCTATGATTCACTGATTTCCTTAAGCTCTGGACCAACCCTTGCAAGAGAACATCAAAGGGGTGATGCAGTAGTGCCAAAATTTGGGTATTTATTCTGGCTGTTTGTCCTGAGCTTCCTCCATAACCAATGGGAAAAGAAAGCATGGTTGTTTAGCAGAGGATGAACTCCCTTTTTGACACATCACCTTCCTCCACAACAGACTGTCCAGAAAGCCTGGATATAGGATGATGTTGTTTGCTGGGCATTATTAATGTATAATTTTGCCAAATTACTCAAGGCTGTGTATCAGGCACCAACCAGGCATTTTCTTCTGTAGCTGCTCACTTTTTGGTCTTAACTTTCGTGTCACCTAGTTTGAGTCACACTTCAGCAAAGCTTTGGTATGAGGATGCATATTTATTTAGCCCAACACTTAACTTTCAGATGGCTGAATGATGGCTGTACAGATTTCATTCCTAACTCAAAACTAGGGAGTTAATCAGGCTGTTCCTGAATAAAAGTAAAATATCCAGCTGGTGAAGGGATCACACAAACCAAGATGTTCCCTGTGAGGTGTAAGGACAGCATTTTACCTTCACTCTTGCACTGGATGGTGTAATGGACAGGGGTGTTGGTCTCCACAGGTTTCCAGACCACCTGCACTCCATCCTTGTAGACTTCCACCATGTCAGGGGGTGGAGGGCTGGGAGGAACCTCTGTTGAGAGGAGGCACAAAACCCAGGGACTGTTAAGAGCAGCACTGCTGTGAATCAAAACCCTAACCCAGCATGTCTCGGTTACAGATATTTTTATATATATATATATATATATATGTATATGTTTTATATGTAGATATAGGCACCCACTTAGAGAAACAGCAATTTAACCCAACCTTAATTTAAACTCAGTATTAAAGTTTTGTCTTGGAGGGCTCTGGATCCAGAAGAGTGAAGAAGAGGGAATGAACCCTGCAATATGTGCCACACTACCAGACAGCAAAGGCTGTGGACTACAGCAAGGGAGAGATTGTCCTCTGCACCTCCCTGCAGAAATCTCACCTCAAAGGTATTTACAGGTCACATTTTGGGGCAGAATTATTTATAACACCTGCTTCTGTAGCTGCTTCTCCTCTTACCTGCTTTTCTTATGACACAAGAGGTGGATGCCGAGCCCAGGGAGTTTGTGGCCACACAGGTGTAAATACCAAAATCCTCAGGATTAACAGAGAGAATAGTTAAGAGCTGGAAGTGTTTGAGGGTGGATGAGATGAGGATCCGGCTGCTGCTCTGGACAGGGATCCCGTCTGAAAAGCGGAAGGTAGGAGAGATAAGCACCCTGAAAATTGATTCCAAGGTGTCTAAACCCCTCCCTGCACCCCTGTCCCAGAGGTCAGGGACTCCCTGGAGGGATGGCAGTGTCACCTCTGAACCAGCTGATGTGCAGGGAGGAGTGAGCTGCCGTCCGGCACGACAGCGTCACGCACTGTCCCACGGCAGCAGCCTGGTCCATGAGCTCATCAGTGAAGGATGGGGCTGTAGGAGAGAGGAAAAAACATCAATTCAGAATAGCCAGGAGAGTTATGTGGAAAACAAATGCATGCAGGACGTCAGAAAACCTTTCTAATTGTTCAAGAACATTTCTGGTTCTTGCTTTGTCATCCTTTTGACCACCCGTCAGAGAACACCCTGGGCATTGAGCACAGGCGCAGGAGCCCCAGGGACACAGTGTGACTGCTCATACAAGATCACCCAGATGGATCTTGGGAAGTCCATAGGGAATACCTGCATTGCCCAGCCCTGCTGGTACAGCTGAGGCAGCAGAAAAGCTCAGAGCAGAGAGAAATCATGTCACAGCAAGAGTGTTCCCCTGGCCGAGCCAAAATGTGGGGGCAAAACTAAATGATGGTATTTCAAGGATGAGGGGATCAAATAGGACAAGAGGAAATGGCCTCCAGTTGCAGCAGGGGAGGGTTAGATTGGATATTAGGGAAACTATCTTCATGGAAAGGGTCATCATGGATTGGAACAGGCTGCCCAGGGCGGTGGTGGAGTCACCACCCCTGGAGGGATTTAAAAGACATGTGGATGTGGCACTTGGGGACAGGGTTTACTGATGACCTTGGCAGAGCTGGGGAATGGTTGGACTCAATGATCTTAGAGGTCTTTGCCAACCTAAATGATTCCATGATCAAGACAACGTAAGAAGAGAGAAGCAGAGATGAAAGATGGATATGAAAGGAGGAAAAACCCCACAGAGCATCAAATCTGCTCCTGCCTCCATGGCAAAGGGGGAGCTCATGTTTTCTTCTGTGCTACTCCAGGGGTTTTTTCTCCCCCGTTGCCAGGAGCTGCCAGCCTCCCACACTTGCCCTTCCCAGTGTTTGCCTGGGCTCTGCTAAGTGCTGGGACATTAGTCTGACCTTGGGAAATGCTCCTGATAAGAGTCAAGGGGAAACTTGTCTGGGAAAAAGCAAGTTCAGCTTCACTGATGCACCACGTGGTGCTGCCCCATTATTTTTCATTCCATAGCTCTGTAACAGCATGTCTGGACTTAACACATCCATTCAGGACTGGAGCATAGGAATTCACAGTTCCCTGCCTCTGCCTTCCCACCCATGGATACTCCTTTTATTCTCTTTCTATCCTACACCTGGATTTTATTCCTTTGCAGTGGCTTCCTGGAATGGCTCCAATTTGCAAACAATGCCATGACAGGTTTTTATCAAGGTCCTAGTTGTGATGTAAACAGAGGAGACTGGCCCATGTTACATGAGTTGGTCCAGGTCATCTCCAGACCATCACTGCAGATCCATCCTTAGAAACTGGCCTCACACAGCACTGGGATTTTCATTACTGACACTTCATGCTAAAACAAACCACTGGCTTGTGCCACAGCAATACCTTTCTCCTTTGGCATGAGGCTTGGCAACTTGAATGAGGAGAGTGCTGACTTCCTCTTCAGAGATCCTTCAGCCCCCATTAACAGCTCTTTTTCTGCTGCCTCACTTCCCAGCTCACCAAACTCTGTTTTGAGAAAGGATGAGAAGTCATTCAAGGCCACCCTTCTCCCCGTGGCATCAATTTACAGTGACAGCTCCTCCATTCACACATAAACAGCTCATCACTCACAGGTTCCCTTATTAACCAGCCTTCAGTCAGCAGGGAAGGCTGTGACAGCTGTGACAAACACAACAGTGTCCTGGAAGAACAGGGAATATCTAGGGATGGCAGAGAAGAAAGGACAGATCCCGATGTCCAATAACCAGGGTGACTTCACCAGCTTCTCCCAGTCACTTTATTTTTTTGAGATTCACCATGGTCAGATGATAACTGCAGCAAGGAAAACATCACCCAGTCCTGGTCTGCTTTTGTGCAACTTCAGACAGGGGAATTTGAGCCCCTTCCATCAGTGGATTAACCCATCTGCCTCTGCAGTGGAGTAACCCAGTAACAGAGGGGTAGTGCTGGAGCTGGAAACTGCTGATTTCATAACCTGCCACGGCCAGTTTTACAACCCCAGTCTAACCACAGCCTCAGATAAAATGAAAAGGCAGCTTTATCAGAGCCTAGTTATAGCAGAAAATCTATGAAGGAGCAGAGTGAAATACTTACCTTCCTCTGCCTCTGGCTCAGGAGATGTCTTTCCTTTTAGGATTCTTGAAATATGGGCAACAGAAGCCTTTACTTTCTTCTTCAGACTCTGCTCCACTGACAGCTCCATGGAATGAGACCTTGCATATGGCTTAAAGAGTCCTGGCTTGGTGTGGAAAGAGCTTTTCTGCTTCCCACTGGAGTCCTTTTGGGAGCTATACATTTCTTTATGGCTCTCTGGCCCTTTCCCCATGGCTACTAAGTGAGCTGCCTTTGAGTCCTCAGATATTTCCAAACGGTTCTTCCTGTTCTTGTCCTCTGCCTGCTCCCTGATGCACAGCCTCTTATCCTTGTGCAGATGCCCTGCAGGAGGGGACCTCGCCCTTTCACCGAGAGGAATAAACCGTCTATGGACTGGCTTGGGCGAAGGCTTCTTGTAGCTCAGAAATTCAAACGGAAAATAGACAATGTCGTACAAGTCAGAGAAGTTCAAGTAGGCAGGTTCCACCTCTGAGATGTCAAATTTTTGAGGGCCGCTGCCAGTGCTGGGGGTTTCATCTGACAGGTCTTTGATTTTCACCAGAGACACTTCTGGGTGTTTCCCGGTGTCCTTGGTCACTGACACCTGACTGGGTCTTTTCCCAGTGTCCAAGCTCTCTGTTGAGGAAACACTGGCTCGGCTGGAAGGGGGGCTCTCAAACGCCAAGTCCTCCAGGTGTTCACACTCATGAGGAACTGTCTGTGCTCCCTGCCCTTCCAGTACCTCTAACTCCTCACTCACAGCGAGGTAGGGTTCTTCAAGGTCATCCTGCTCAAAGACTTCCCCTCTTTCACCCTGTTTTACAGAAGGGGAGGAGGTGTCCATGGGTGCTTGGCTACCTGGGCCTCTGTAGAACACCTGTGTGGGAGGAGAGATGTGCTTTCTGCTCTCCTTCTCTCCAGAAACTGACTCTGCCCAAACATTCATCTCTTCAGAGAGGGAAACCATCTCGTCCACCAAGCCCTCCAGCACAGCAGACTCCTCATCACTGTAAAAGGAAGACCTGTGATGTGACCGCTCCTGACGGCGATCCCTGCGGAGCGACGGTGGGACAGCTTTTCCAGCGTCACATCTTCCACTTTCTAAGGCAACACCTCCACCCTCACCATGGACCTTTGGATATTCCTCGTATTCTACTTCATAGGCTGAAGCTGGAGCACCTTCTGGTTGTGCAGCAGTTAATGCACCCCCCAGACCATCAGAAATCCCCGCACCGGGACTGGCAGCCCTGTGCTGCTCCAACTCCCGATGTCCAGCCTTGGGGAAAGGAGCAGACGTGGTCTGTGCAGTTGCTGGGCTTCCACTTGCTGTCACAGCAGATCTCACCTCGCTGTGAAGGGATGGATGTTCTCGTTTTTCCTTCTGACAGACTGAAGGGAGAGCAGTGCTTTGGGAGGACACTGTTCCCGCTGTGTGTCTGCTCTCTGGAACAGCACGGCCTTCAGGAACCTTCTGGGGTTTGGCTCCTTCATGGGCCAAGCTGGGAACAACCTCTGTGACAGCAGAGCTTTCACTCCTCAGAGCAGCAAACCTCCCCTTGCTGTGAGCTGGCCCTTCCCTTTCAGCCCGTGCTCCATCGGAGATTGGACTCAGCACTGACTGTGGTGATGGGACTTTGGGAACAGCGAGGTGCCCTCCTTTCAGGCTGGCTGATGCTGTGAGTCCATGAACAGGAGCCTTCCCGTGAGCTTGGCTTCCACCAGCAAGGGCTGATGGTGGAGTGACTCCTGTCACACCCAGCCCTTCCTCCTCCAGGACAGCAGATCTCACCTCTTTGCGGGTCTTCACCTTCTGAGGAGCCCCTTCACCAGCTGTGAGGGCACCTGGCCGCTTGCCCAGCGAGACAGGAGCTGCTGGAACACTTTTCTCGGGAAGTTCCTGACTTTTATCTTTATGTACTGGAAGTGAATCGGTCTCTGTCTGTTCTGCTGGAACAGCAGAGCTTTCATGCTCCATGAGTTCAGACTCGGCAACGCCATGAGCAGAAGTCTTTTCACCTGAATGTTTCTGCCTTTTGTCCTTCCAAGGTGGAACTGGGGCTGTCCTTTTGATCAGCAACGTTCCACCTTTTTGATCCAGGTGGATGTCAGTGCTGTGAGCAGACTCCTGGGGCACATAGACACCTCCCTTACTCGTGGGAGGTGACTCAGAGGTGGCCTCTGACTGTGTCAGGGTTGGAATGGACTCTTTGCCCTCCTGAAAAGTGATGTCAGAGGAAGATTTACCCTCCATGCCCTCATGTTTTTGGGCTGCTGATGCAGTTGTGTCTGAGCACTGGGCAGTCAGAATGGGGCTTTTGCCTTCCAAATCTTCAACATCCTCCTCAATCTCAGTAGCTTTTGACTTCTTCAGTAAAGGTTTCCTATTTTCACTCCTGTGAGGTGACACTGGAAGTCCCTCAGCCTGTTGCATAAAAGCAGCTGGGCACCCATCACCCTCACAATGTGTGGAAGGAGAGGGCTTCTCTCCTGAACAATCCTTGCTGGCTCTCCTGACTTCCTCCTGCTTTGATGTGTCTACAGAACATCCTTTGCCAGGCCCTGCAGAAATGTCACAGTGGTCACTGCCTTCAGGGCAGCTCTCCTGGGACAGGACATCACAGTCTTCTTCCAAAATATCTTGTTCCCTCAGTGACCTCGAGGCTCTCAGCCTGTAGTCGTCCAGGGAACGGCTCCTGCTGGCACCAGCAATGGCAGGATGTGGTGGTTTCCTGGCAGTGTCAAACGAAGCTGATTTGGTCAAGGATCCCAGCAGGCTTTCCCTGCGATCGTCTCCTTCCTCTTCCTCTTCCAGTTCAAACTGCTCCAGGAGGGGCTCACGGAGACCACTGAGGGGCACCTTCGAATATCCACCTTTCCGGAAAGTCCTCCTGGCTCTGTCCAGGTGCCTCCTGAGCTCCCTGCCTGGTGAGGAAGGTGGCCTTGCAGGGAGCTCTGTTGCTTGGCTGTAGAAAGTGCTTTTGATGACGCTCTGCCTGGGCACAAAGGCAGATGGCTTTTCTGTGCCATCCCCAGCCTTTTCAATTCTCTCCTGATCAGCTAAAGACATGTCTGGTTTTCCCTTCTGACCTGGATGTGATGTGCTTTCCGTGGAAGCCCTCACGGATGAAGGCTCAGCAGCACCGCTCCTTTGGGATGGCTCCGCTCTTTCGCCTCGAACACTGGGATGGAGCCCCTCCTCTTTCTCCTGGAAAACACTGGCCATGAGCTCTTTGCTTTCTGTGGGTGATTTGTCCCCCACCTCAGCCTTCATGGAAGCATATTTCCTCCTCATGGGTTTTACTGGAGGGACTGGTGCCTTGGAGTGCTTCTGCTCACTTGAACGTTTTGGAGGCTCCCGATAACTTGGTGCATCAAACACGGGCAAGTGCAGCTCCGGGGTGGAGCCAAAGTGCCTCTTCTTGGGGAAATTCGAGTTCTCATTGTCTGAAGAGGAGCCACTGGTACTGGATGAAGTGCTTTCCTCAATGAGGTGTCGGGAGATGGCCAAGGAGGTGTTGTCGTGGGTCCTTTCCAGGATTTCTGGGATAGATCTCATTACCAGGATGGATTTGTAGCACATCAGAGACCGCTGGGGAGCCAAACAAAATACAGCACAGTGAGACAGAGATATGGTGGGAGGATGGCAAAGCAAACATACCCAAATGAACTCCTGAACTCCTAATTACCTCACCCACGAGTTTAATTACACACTGCCAACCCTTTGTACATGTCACCAATCCGGGCCTCATTTGCTCTCCAAATCTTCCTCTTCCCTCATTGACAGACGTGAAACTAAATTGACTTCAGGGGACATACTTGCTGCTGTGAACAGGGAAGCAGGAGCCTGCTTGAGATTTCCAAAGTCAATCTGGCCACTCAAAGCAGATGGAAAGGCACTTTTAATGGAAAACATCAGAAGAAAGACTTGCTGGAATCAATGACCTTAAATCCATTGATTCCAGTTCAACCTACAGTGACTTAGGCCAACAGTGCAGGAGGTGGGATTCCTCTGCTCTAACTTCTGCCATGTGAGACATCTCAGTTGAAATTGGGCAGCTGCCCTCCCCTTCCAGCCAGCAGGGAGAAACTGGCATCTTCAGAAGCCAATCAATCCCATCATTTAGAGAACTTCAGGAAAAGAGGCATTTTTGGGAACCTGTCTATAATTCAGCACTGATTCAGTAAAGGCAGCTGAGGGCACCTCAATCAGACACAACCTTGTGTTTTACAGGCACCTGCATGAGACCAAGTGTTTCCCAGGTAGTAAAAGTCTAGATAATTAGTTCCTGACACATCCCTCAACTGCAGCCTCCTGGGTTTACTCCCCATTCACAGCCAAGCTGAGATCTCTGCTGAGCTCTCTGTCCAAGTCCAAAAGACTTTCAAAGATTCAAATGTAAATAAAAATATACATAACAAAAATATAGATTATATATATTATTATAGCTTATTGCATATTAAATATTATTTTATATAATATATAGTATATAGTATATAAGAATATAATATGCAATAAATAATAAATAATAATATATATAATATAATTATACATTATATATTATATATTATATATTATATATTATATATTATATATTATATATTATATGTTAGATAATATATAATATAAATAACCTGTGATACATATTATTATATGGTATATAGATTATTATAGATTATTATATAAATTATATAACAAAAATATAGATAAGGGCAACTCACCTGCCACTTGCTCCGAGCCACAATGAATTTGAGCTGCTTGGTATTAATGAAATGAGCTGCTTCGAGGGGGACATTGTGCTGCCAGGTAGAATGAGAGGAAAATCATTGGTTCAAAAAAACCTGGCTTCATTTCCTAGTAACTCTCTAGGATTCCCTCCTTCCAGAGTTGTTTAATTCAGGAAAGTTACAGTAGACCAAATGCTACAATCCCTTCATAGTTAAATTGCAGACAAAATCAGTGATAAAAGTAACCCTTGTTCAAGACATGTCATTAAATCCTTTTTTTATTGTTAATTTTTAGCTCTTCCCCTTAGTGGCATTTTAATATAAACTATAACTTTGCCCTGCAAAGCCACAGGTTCCTTCCTATTTTGACATGTGATAGGACAAGAGGAAACAGCCTGAAGTTGAACCAGGGGAGGTTTAGTTTGGATATTAGGGAAAATTTCTTCCTGGAAAGGGTAGCCAAGGATTGGAACAGTCTGCCCAGGGCAGGATGGTGGAGTCACCATCCCTGGAAGGATTTAGAAGATGTGGCACTTGGGGATATGGTTTAGTGGTGGCCGTGGCAGTGCTGGGTTAATGGTTGGACTCCACAACCTTAGAGGGCTTTTCCAAATTAAATGATTCCATGTTATATCTGCTCATGTCAGCGGTAAATCTTTATCCTTTGAAAGGAAAGATATCCTGGCATATAAACCTCTTCCTGGGGAGCCAAGCCTGAGCTCCTCTGTGGCACAGAAAATGGGAGACCATGGGAAAAAAATAAACCAGCAAATATCCATCAGCTTTAGGAGCCACCCCTCTAAAGGTCTCTTCCAACCTCATTATTGTAATGACTAATAAAGGACCAGGATAAACTTACCATGAACCACTTGTGGGACAGACAGTCCAAAGCACTAGGCCTGGCTCTGGTAAGAGAACAGGTGGACATTTTAGTAGGAAATCACTTCCAAAGCAACCACAAGATCTTCCTGAAGGTGCTGCTACACATGGACACACTTTGGTGTGTGTCCTCAGGCTGCTGGTTTAGAGCTGAGAAGCCAATGAGGCAGACAGCAGCTTTCAGCCCAAGGTTTCCTTCCCTTGAGGTGAAATAATCCTCATTTTTTCTTTCCCAGATTTCCCCACAGATCCTCAGGAAGAGCCCGTGGCACTCTGTGTGGAGCCTGTTCAAGGGTGTCCAGAGCAGCCCCAAGAGGGACTTTGCCTCTTTAGGTGGCCAGAGAGAAAATAGCTTTGGCAGGAGGCAGAAAGAACAGAAACGAAATTAAAAAGCAAGGGCCTGCAAACCTGCCTTCGAGCCTCCTTTTGTACCTGAAATTGCTTAATGAACATGGTTAATGGTATTTAATTCTCTCATAACTCCCTCTACACCAGTCCTCGCTCTTCCCACTTGTCTGTGTCGTTCCAGAAATTCACCTGCCTGCAGCAGGCAGGGGGTAAGGACATCACCACCCCAATTTGGCAAATATCCAAGCTGTGGTTTGGGTAATGGGGAATAACGAGGAAAAATTAGGGCAGAACATCTCAAAACATCAGTTTGCTACTTTTCTAGAGAATAAGAGCTCTGGTGAGCTGAGATGTGCCCGCTGAGACAGCAACACCCCTGCACGGGGCTGCAGGAAGCACAGGAGGATGCTCACTTGGGATTCAGATAAGGAAGGAATCACAGG